CAACATCTTATCTCTTCTGCGTAGGAATGTTTGTTGATAGGCAAAACAACCACTAAAGTTCGAAAGTAAATTGTAATTTGAGTAGAAGTTACTAAAAAAAGTAATTAAAGTAAACTACTAATTACCGAAATAAAAATGTAATTGAAAGTTACTAAACTACTCAGACAAGTAGTTAAACTCTAGTAACTTGAGTAGAGTAGTTGAACTACGTACAAGTCTGGTCAAGGGTAACAGAAAGGCAGATTGATTCTGCTTGACGAGGCACTATAACCCGTTTACACTGCTCAGCAGGCGAAAACAAAAATACTACACAATAAAGAACAAAAAGACATAGTAGCACATCAACAACAGTTAGAACAGCATAGTTTGTGCAAAGTTAATACAATCGTCAGTGCTTGTTTAACATTTTGGAAATGCAAAACGAACCAGGTAATACAACTCCTGAGCAATGAAAACAATATCTGGAAATATTTACTCCACATGACATGACAGAGGGTACCGTTTTATAGTATTTTTGAAGCCTTGTTTTGAAGCACACTCTGAAATCATTTCCATAACGGCTGGATGTTTGTTTAAGATCTCCGGTATTAAGTATGCGAATTGGTGATATCCATAATTCATCCTAGACCAAGCTATTAACTAAGAGCCATGTAGAAGATTGTATTGTGCAATATTAGGAAGAAGTGGGTAAAGAAAACAGGACTGGTAACTAATTATTTTAATATAGATATGCATTGAACGTTGGAGGAATAGATAACAAATAGTAAAAAAGAAGTGTTTGAAAAATAGCTGTGCTGTGCGCTCAGTACGCTAAAGGTTTTCTATACAACGTACTGCTTTTCTTTCTTTTTTTTTGTGAAAGAAACATTTTTTAAATGTTTGTTTTAGTTTTTGAACCACAAAATAATATACAGTAATAGAGATGAGAGTACACTAAAGTAGAGTACAACTGGCATCTTAACCAGCATGGAAACAGCAATCTAATTTTCTATAATATAATAATAGATTTAGAGGTACTCGCATGAATCTTATTTATATGAGGTCTCCAGATTAGATTTTTTTTTTAAATAACTCCTAAGAATTTATGGACTTAGACACGCTTTATCACAGAGTCCTGGAATTTTCAAATACTTTCACACTCATCAGGTTTACTTCATGGCTTAAAAAATATATATTTAGTTTTTGTAACATTTAACTGAAGCTGAATAGAGTCAAGCCAGTCTGATAACTCGCTTAGCCATGTGTTGGCAGTAATTTTAAGATCACGCAAAAATGGACCAGAAAAATAAAGATTGTATCGTCGACACACAAAACTATTTCAGGAGTGTTTATTATACGTACAATATCATTAATATAAATAATAAAAAAACAGAGGACCTAAAATAGACCCCTGTGGAACAACATATAAAATTTTTTGTCTTAGACGGGTACCCATTAAAACACGTATATCGAAACCGACATGATAAGTAACTACGTACAATATCTAAAGCGACCTCGAATTCCATGAAACGGTAGTTTATAAAACAAGATATCATGTTTAATGAATCAAGCGCGTTTCTAAAATTACGCAATATTTCAGGGGTAAATAGATAATTTTCAAAATTATAAATCTTTCTTCGATCCCAGTAGCGCCATTTCGGTTCCTTTTCTTTCTTGAAAACCGTATTGCTGCATTACAGAAACAACTCTATGATTCAAAAACTTGCTAAAACGTTTTTTTTTTATCGGATGTTCTAAAACTTCTGAAAACAAAGGAAGTACGGATATCGGCCTAGAGTTATTAATGTCAAAAGGACATAATTTGTGCAAAAGAGCAACATTACATATATATGCTGGAGGGGAGAACAGAAAAGGTGAGCGACAGTTGTGATCGGCATGGCCTTGATGTCATCTGCTCCGGCTGCTGTGTTTATATTTAAAGATTTATAGATTAAGTATATTTCTTGTTCATCAGTTTGGGTCAGTATAATAGAATCTACAGCTGCAGATGAAATATACTTGTCTAAGCTTTCTTTTGAGCCTTGTGACTACAGTGACGAAACCGCACTTCAAAATAGGAATGAAGTTTGTACGCCAAAGGGCATCACAGTACTGAGTACTCAAACGTTAGTTTCAAGAGTATCTTTTTGAATTGCCAAAACGGTTTGCGACAGTATTCTAAGGTTTCCAAGGTTATTTCGAAATAGCTGCGAACTTGTTTTTATAGTATTCTTCACGAGCTTTCTTAAGGTTTTTGCTATTTTTTCATATACGGATGAAGTTGTATAATTTGTTACGTTCCTTAATTTTTTTCATACAACTCGCGTGTAACCCGTACGGTTTCTTAGACTTTTTGTAATTATAATCGGTCGGAGAGGAAATACTTAATTGTAAATGTGCTTTATCTTCTGCACAAAAAGTTAATAACACAATTTTTTTACCCATTATAAACGTCATCCCAATAACTCGTAATTTGGTGCGCCTCTGGCGCGTTTTTGGTTGCCGGTGCTGCCGGCAAGGACTCGCCGACGATTGACCACCCGAATTCGCCATAAGTTGGACACTCGGCGAGAAAGTTGGCGAGATCGCCAACCGCCGCGATTGGCTAGTGTAGCGTCGCGAATGGTCAGCGCAAAAGTCAGGCCCAGCGCTGGCCAATGACGGCGGTCGGCGATCCCGCCGACTAACCTAGAGGCCCAGGTGTCCGCTTTCGATCCTCCCGCGCGCTCTAACCCCGTGCGCCCGCTTCCTTCTCTTCTTCCTCCCTACAATATATCAATCAGGATTAGCTTGTTTCTTCCTGTCTCTTCTTGCGGGAGGAGAAAAGCAGAAAACACTTTCAAAGAAGTCGCTTAAAGGGGCCTAAAAAGGAACGGTTTGCTGTCACCCTGTACAGAGAAGGGCGATCGGAAGCTAATGAATTATTTAGTAAATACGTGATTGCATAGCAACTAATCGCGGAAAAGGGGTACCGCGAGCTGGCACGCGACCTTGGCCAAAAATAAGAAGCACCGTCTCTCTTTAGGCGAGTGATACGATATTATCAGCGTCATTACTCGAAATAACAAATCGATCATTGGAATACTTAAAAAGTCGAGTTGAAGATTCTTGACACGCTCGAAATAAGTAAGCAGCATTCGACACGCAGATGGCGCGACGGATCGTGAGATTAGCGTCCCCTCCACGCGTACCTCGAAGGACGATCCAAGAGTCGACATACGAGGATCGGAATAGGAAATAGATGGAGGGAACGTTATTCACGTGGGCAGATTTGCCGCCCATTACGAGCGAGTCTTATCTTTCTTATCGGAGTTGTTAGTAGTGATGTGCCTGCGAGAGTTGACGCCTGCTTGACTCAATGAACGGAAATTGCTAGGTTTTTATTCTATATACTGTACTTAATTTGACGTGCTTTCTTTTAAATATTTGTTATAAAAGCAAATTTTTAATGCGCGTTTAGCCATTTCGCAGGGGAGTGTTAGGTGCGAGAGAGGATGGGGCGGGGGGGGGGGGGGGGTGGTAAACAAAATACAAAATGTACACAAAACATCCTTTTTAAAAAAGACAAATTGCATAACAGTAAAGGGCCAGACAGGAATTCACAAAATAACATACACGTAAAGTATTCTACGGTAGACTACTGGAATACAGCCGATGGTAAAAAGAAGCACTATCTCTGCTGGAAACAGGATCTTTGGGCAATGTGTTGCACTCTCGAGTGATTCGAATACAAAAATAAGGCACCCAGTCAATTTGATAGCGATATGGCGACACTATCTAGGGCGATTCAGCCGCATACACGTGGCGTTGGTTTGGAATGCACAGTTTGCTGAGGGATACTAGCTTAAGTGTATTATAGCAGTTAATACAAATTTCGCCGTGATATTTGTGTACAAACTTTCAAGGAATACAAACTTAGTCTTTTTTTCAGTTCAGTGCGGCGTGCGCGGGAGCATTAGTCACCTGTCTCAGTTGGAGAGCCTGGTTTTGGGATTCGTTGGAATTTGGTTTGCCAGCGGAACGGGTCGGGCGTATCAATACATGTGCAAGCCTTGGACGTACACAACTCGTTTCGTCCTCTCTGTATTATGTTCAGCGCGGAAATCAGTGGCGTTTTATACTTTTTGTTTCGCTTACATATATCAATTAAGTGAATAAAAAGAGACAAGCGTAATAAAGGAGACAGACTAAATCCACCACGATTTTGTTTATTGGAACTATGAGTAAAACCTAACAATAGACTCACATATAATAGTGAGCGGTTACAGGACTGAAACCCTCCTTTAGGTCATCAGATATGAGCACCGACATGAAACCAGCGAAGGTGTATCTTTTTTGCGCTTAAACGGCTTTTAGGTGCCTCATTGGGGCACGTTGAAGCCACTAACATCAGGGCCAGAGGCATTCCTAAGAGAGAGAGGTTGAAGAGACGAATGCCAACAGCCAAGGCTGCACATTATTGATGTTTGGACGAGCATAGCAGAGGAGAAACTTTGTTATAAACGCGATTAGTTAAAATGAGACGTCAGATTTTCCAGTAGTTGAGAGAGCAAATATGTTACGCGTTGAGTTCTTAAGTTCTCCGAATCTACATAAGTTGGCTTCACCTATTTCATCTTCAACTACCCCGACAGGACAAATTACCTGGAAATCAGGACAAATTGCCTGGAGACCGGGTCGTTTTCTAAACTCCCAGAAAACGAGGGAATTTCGGCGGGCGGTGCCACACAAACTCACCAGCACGTCAAAAAAAAAAAAAAAGAAAGCTGGAACGATGTTATTTCTTATCATGTCTCCCGCTTTATCACGTCGCCCACGCGCGCGCATTCTGCGGAGTACCGTTGCACTCCCAGGCGGTCGCGGTCCCTTTGACTAGCTTCTCGCGTCTGGCGCACGCGACTCTCGGTGAAGCGATTATTGCGCATCGATAAGAATGCCGGAGGCGACCCCCCGACAGGACGCCAGGCGGCCAGCTCACGTAGCGTCGTGCCGGTGGGTGGCTGAGCGCGGCGTTGGCTCACCCTGGTATCGTTGGGCCGGAGCGCCTTGAGGCAGAGCACCCTGGGCTGCGGCCGCCGACAGGCGCCCTCTGTCCAGACGAGCTGCTCGTGCTGTGCCGCCCTGGCGAAGGCCCTGTTGTGCGGCCTGCGCGGCCCCGCCGAGGCGACGAAGGCCACGAGGCCCAGGGCCAGGAGCGCGGTTAGGGCGCAGCCCGCGCGCATGGCTGGGCAGCGCGTTGGACGTCCGACCGCGTCGCAGCCGCTATCGCGTACATTGGGAAAGATACAAGCGAGCCCCCGGCGACGCTCCTTGGGGGGGCCCGGAGCCAACAAAAAACAACAAGAAGCGCGCGAATCGTGGCCGGGCGCTGTCACTCGATCCATGCGGCTTTCCTCTTGGGCGCGTAATCTGGTCCGTCTGGGCGCCCGCCCTCCTCGCGTGCGGCTCGCGTTCAAGCTAGACGCCTCACCCGGAAGGACGGGACCCGCAGTCCGGCCTTGCTTCCAACGTGCCCGGCCAGAGCCAGCCGGACCCTTGACCGAGACTTCTGCCTTCGACCCTCGGGTGCGTTTCCGGTCTAACAGGAGCGGTTGGACCCGTTTTTATTTCCCGCGAGGACTTCTTATTTCACGCCCCCCTGGCGTGAAATAAGAATTTTCGTGTTTACCACGAAACGACGGGCGCTTTTCGAGGCCTCTCCGCCTCCTCACGCGAGCGACTTCCGATGAAGCAATTTCTCGCGCGCTTCTGCCCGCGCTCGACGGTGCTATTCGTAATTACGGTCGTTTCAAAGTCTACATGTTTACGCGGTCGCTGCGGATCGAGAAGGGTGCACGCGTGGACTGCTAATGAGCCATTCTCCTCCTCGGAAAAAAAGAACAGGAACAAGTATTGCGGCCAGGGGCGACCATTTTGGTTGGGACACGCGAAGCCAGCGCTTCGGAATATACAACTGCGAACATCCCAAGGGCTGCTTAATTTCCCAGTTGAGGAACGACTGCCTAATGCGCCGCCGCTATCAGTTACTTCACGACCGAACGCCTACGCGGTTGCTCCAAATTTCTTTTTTTGGGCTTTCTGTCGAAGCGTTGTGTGGTTCATGATGCGTCTCGTGGTAACGACCCGTTGATGGGTGAGGCTTGTGTGGATCGTGTCCCGCGTTGGATTCAATGACGACGCTTTGTTTGCACGCTGTGCTATCGCTGGTCGCGGTATTTTGGATCGTTTTTCTCTCGAGCTTCCTTTTTCGCGGGTTTCTCCAGGGTTTTCCCAGCGAACCTTGAGTGCTATCTTGTTTGTTTGTGCTTCGGAGCGGACGGAAGGTCACATGTAATTGGAGAGCTTCGGTATCGGAACTGGCTTGAGGTACCAGCTTTGTTGCTCCCATTTCGAAGGGCTTAGAAAAATTGATTGATTGATTGATTGGAGTTTTATGGCGCGAGAGCACGTAGGCCAAAATGAGCCAGGTGCATAAGATATTGCAACTACAGAGTTAAGAAAAAAAACAGAGCTAGAGTAGCTGGTGATGTAATAAAAGCGTGAACATGGATCGTTTAAAATATATTAACATGAAGTTTAGTTAAGAATAAAAGTTATAATCAATAAATAATTTTCTGCAATGGAAAAAAAAAACATGGTAAAAAGAATTGTGAGGGTGCAGGCGAGCTGGTGAATATTAACCATGTTGAATTAACCTGAGACTGGGGTAGAGAAGAAACACCAAAATGTAGAAGGGACAGAAAATAGACAGGACGACGTCTGTCCCTTCTACGTTTTGATGTTTCTTTTCTACCCCAGTCTCAGGTTAAATGGTTAATATTTTGAGACGTCGTCCTGTCTATTTTCTGTCCCTTCTACGTTTTGATGTTTCTTCTCTACCCCAGTCTCAGGTCAATTGAACATGGTAAAAAGGACGAGTTATAACAGATAGCCAGTTTTTTTAAAGAAATTCCAAAACTTTACTGAAAAGTACAAGAGGTTCATCTCCTAGCAAGAATGTGGGATGAAATGGAAGATGGGATCCAAAAATACTAGGAAAACATGCTCGTCGTTTTCGATCTAAGCACAAGCAGTGCCACCTAGTATGCAGCACAGTGTTTTGCCACAATTCTCACAGCGCGGGGTATCGTCATCACAAAGTAAATATAGATGCGTTGAACAATGTGTGTCCGATACGCAGGCGGCACATCAAAACCTTATGGCAATGGTTCCTTTAGTGAGAACTCTCCCATAATCCTAAACAAGGTTTGATATTATGTAGTTTATTGGCAATTTTTGTATCCCATTGCGAAAGTTCATAAATCAATCTTTTTTATAACAACTTTAATATCTTCATAGGATAGGCCTACACATGCTTTTAGGTCACTATTAACAGAGCAGTCAATGTATCTGCTGCTTCGCTACCTACATGGCTTGGCACCCAGCATAGTTTTATATCAAGGCCAATTAGAAGAGCGCGATTTATTTGAATACGCGCTTGATGTACGAGACGATTCTTTGTAACGGTAATAGAGCACACAGCAAGTAGAGCCACCCTGGGGATCAACAAACAAAACAACCTTTCTCACACGGTTTTCCAAGATGTGTTCAAGCGCCATGAGCATAGCGTAAAGCTCGGCAGTGAAAATACTTGCAACACTTTCGATACGTCTTGCTCTACTAAAGTGTACTGAATATACTGCGGAACCTACGAAAGACGAGCTTTTGGCCCCGCCAGTAAAAAAGAAAAATGCTACGTAGTCTTTATATTTCTCTTGTTATGGAAGAAATTTCTTCTGAAGAACCTGATGGTTAACTGACCTTTCATTATATCCTGTGAACGACCAGTCACATCATAATCTTACTGCCTTCCAAGGGGCCCAACAGTCTGAGTTTCCTTAACCAAATTACTTTCATGAAGAGCCAGCTGCAGGGAGGCAGAAATGCTCTGAAGCCGGAAGCTTAATGTCCGTACTATGCTTGGTTTGTTTCCAAAAAGCCACAAAAAACACTGAGGTGTGGATAAAACTAAATGAAGGATTTACATGAGCAGATTTCAATTTGCACCCATAACACAAGCTAACATATTGTCTGCGCTTCTCTAGTGACATTTGATGTGTATCTGCATACAGGCTCAAGACAGGCGATGTCCGAAATGCTCCGGTGGCAAGTCAGAGGCCAAGACGATGAACTGGATCTAGCATTCTTAAGACAGATTGCCGTGCTGATTCATACAGAAGTGCACCATAGTCCAGACGGAAGCGGACTACGGTCTGATAGGCGATGAGACATCGCCTGTCAGACCCCCAGGATGTGTGTCAAAGCACTTTGAGAATATTATGTGACCGCTAGAATTTCTGCTTTAGCTTCTTGAGGTGAGCCAGAAAGGTAAGTTTCTTGTCAAAAATAGCCCCTAAAAATGTGCGCTCGTGTATTACAGGTATTGCAGTGCTATTGAGCTGCAAACAATGATCAAGTGACAGACCACAACGTAGTGAAAAGGGCACACACTGTTGTTTTAGAAGAAAACTTAAAACCATTTTCATCGGCCCGTTTGCTCATTTTGTTTATCGAGACTTGAAGTTGGCGCTCGCAAATTGAGAAATTGCAGGACGCAAATGAAATCTGCACATCATCCATATATAATGAATATGAAACGGATGGACATTTCACTGCAGCAAGCTAGGCTGTTTATCTTCAACACAAACAAAGTGACGCTCAATACACCCCCTTGAGGGATGCCATTTTCTTGAAGGAAAACATACAAAAGTGTGGAGCCAAACCTAACCTAAAAAGTTCGGTTAGTCTAAAATTTCCTTATGCAGCGCATGTAATAGTACTAGTATAAGTCATATATCTTTTACAGATTTTGTTGTATATATATGTGTGTGTGTGTAGGACAGCGGACTGGATATTTTTGAAGTGTTTGAGTTGTTTGTATCCATTGCTTCTTGTAATTTCATTTTCTATTGCTTCCCCCATTTTCATCTCATGCTTACTTCTTGTTATTTGCTCTACCGCTCCCCTCTATAATGCTTATGCCTTGAGGGTATGTATAAGTAAATAAAATAAATAAACATGCAGCCACGGACACTATATGTGTACAAGTCCTTAAGAATCCCGTACCGCCACGCAGTATCATAGGCTTTTTCTAGGTCAAAAATACTGAAACACAGTGCTGTCGATGAACAAATGCTTTACGTATGAACGTTTCCAGTGGAACAGGATGACCCAATGTTGATCGCACCATTCTAAACCCACGCTGATTGGGAACAAAAATTCTTTCAGCCTCTAAAAAGTGTACTGATTGTCTATTTATTAGTTTTCCGTGAGTTTTCCCAAGGCAACTGGCCATCGCAATGGGACGATCACTCGCTGGCAGAGCAGAGCAGGGGAATTATATCTGCCCATTTCCAGCACTGAGGAAAGGCAGAAGCTTCCCGCAAACGATTAAAAAAGGTTAACAAGTAGCCTAGAGTTTCAAGCGACAAGTGCTGCAACATTTTATAAAAGATTTTGTCAGGTCCAGGTGCCGATTGATTTTTTCACTCGTGATAGGCTGGTTGCATGCAAGAGTATCTGATCCAGACATAGCAATTGGCAGCTTTTCCGCAACAGCTCTGAACTTTCTTAAAATTTTGCAGAATAGTTTGATGAACTAGAAACTTCGCAAAAATGTTCCGCAATAGCATTTGCCTGGCCCATCAAAGTTGGCGAAGGCGAGGGTAAAAATCTAGGCGTCCTAAAAAGAAAGGTAGTTGCCCTGAATTTTCCTCACTCGCGGTCCCACACCTCCTGACAACACTTGAGAAAATAATTCATCCACGAGCTTTTATTTGTTTGTTTCTTTAGGGGCCTTTATTGCTTTACATTTTTTAAGTCTGTCTTGTTCTAGACCGTTGGGAACTGGCAAAAAGTGCTCCAGGCCCTGGCCTGAGATCTAAGCTTAACAGTACAATCTTGGTCCACCAAGGCTTGTAGCGCTTGGGAAGATTTCCAGATGTTAGTGGAATGGAGACATATGCAGGCATTTATGATAGGTCAGTAACGTACATGGTGGAATTTTCAGGTTTCCTACCCAAAAGTTCAGTTGGGTCAAGCACTGCTGCTTCCAATGCAAAAAGAGCCCAGTCAGCTTTGCTAATTTCCACCTGGGGATGCGTGTTGGAAGTGATGGAGGGTATACAATGCTTTCTAAAATAACATGAAAATGGTCACTCGAAAAAGGGTTATCTAAAACCTTCCAAGACAAACAGGGAAGTAAAGTTGGGGATGCAAGAGAAAATTCAATGGAAGTAAAAGTATTATGATGTGCACTAAAAACGTTG